ACAAATTGTTGCACCTCTATTATATGTTTTGTTTTAAGATGTTTTAATTTAATTAAAAAAACAAACTAAAATCTACACACAGCAGAAGAAAAAAGATAAATAACATGAAAGGCAGCAGAAAGAAGAAAAAATCATCTTCTAATATCTGTCAAAAGCATAATTTATAACATAAAAATATACTATTTTAAATTGTGTTCACCATTGATATATAATATATATAATATACTATGATTAACGAGCATTACAAAAGTATTTTAGCTTTTCTTACCTGTTTTAATCCATGCTGAATCAGATCATGCTTGAAAAACGAAGCAGAAACAGAGCATTAGCCTCGCTATTAGRGGTTAGCTTAGCCTTGTTTATAATCCAGTCTTGTAAAATGATGGGAGTGTAAACTCTTCCCTCTGTCTTGGTCTGCTGCTCTTCATGRCCATCTGATCATGTCCAGGTTCTTTTGGTTTAACCTRCTCCTGGGTTGTTCTCATCAAAAAGGTTGTTATGAGAGCTGAGTTGCTAGCTTCTCCATTAGCTTAACTGGYTGTACTGAACATGGCTGARGTCGACTCGTTGACACAGGTGGACCCACCCACTGCTGGTGTGCGTTCGGGGACCTGCGAACCCAGGCAATCCTTTACTTTTGCATTGAGAACTTACTGTGCATGTCCAAAATCTTCACGAGTTGTCTTTGGGAAGCTGTAGCGCCGAACACAGCCGTCACCCAGAAGTGACTCACACGAAAACGTTCATGAGTAAAACAGAAGTTTGCACATAAATAACTATAAATTATTATTTTTGCTTATCGGAAAACATAAATACGATATATTGTCAAAACATTTATAACATTTTCTTTTGTTATGTTATTTTATTTTATTTTATTTTTGCGTACCGAAAATACGGGGGGACCAGCGCCCCCTATTGACCAGCTGCCACTGGTACACACTATAGTAACAATCATCCACCTAATTACAGCTTTCTTTTTTGCTCACATGGCGCACCGTGTGATTTCAGACGAGATACCTGCTTTAGTCGTAAGACTGTCTCATTTTCTCTTTCTCGCTTTGATTCAGATGTCGATGAGTGTGCAGAGGGTCTGAGCTCATGCGGTGAGAACTCGCAGTGTGTGAATCTTCCTGGTAGCCACCGCTGCCAGTGCCAGAGGGGTTTCGAGTTTGGATACGACCGGCGTACCTGTGTTGGTGAGTTGAAGAAAGAATGAGACCTCAGATCCAGGAGGTCCAAGCAAGTTTTCTTTGCAGGGTAGCTGGACTCTCCTTAAAGATAGTCTGAGAAGTTCAGTTCTCCAGGAGATACTAGAGTCTCCAGGAGAGTAGAGCTGCTGCTCCTCCACATACACAGGAACCAGTTAAGGTGGTTCATCTGTTTAGGAAGGCTCCTGGATGCCTCCCTAGGGATGTGTTTTGGACATGTCCAACTGAGAGGAAACCCCTGGTTAAAACCCAGGACACTCTGMWGAGACTATGTCTCTCAGCTGATCTGGGAACACATTGGTGTCCTCCCAGAAGAGCTGGAAGAGGTGGATGTGGAAATAAAGTTTTAGACCTCCCTGATCAAGATATTGACCCCAAGACCTGACTCTGGAACAAGAGGAAGATGATGGATGGATGGTTGGTTGGTTGGTTGGTGGATGGATGGTTGGTTGGTTGGTTGGTTGGTTGGTTGGTTGGTTGGTTGGTTAATGGATGGATGGATGGATGGATGGTTGGTTGGTTGGTTGGTTAATGGTTGGGTGGTTGGTTGGTTAATGGATGGATGGTTGGTTGGTTGGTTGGTTAATGGTTGGGTGGTTGGTTGGTTGATGGATGGATGGATGGATGGATGGATGGATAAATGTCATTGCTCTATTTCCTTTGTGCATAGTACCACAGTAAAATACCACCACCGTGCTTAAAAATTGACTAAAGTGTTATTTGGTGTAAAATTCTCATCTTGACTCTTTCAAACATACAGTATATGTTGGGACCCAACAGATCACTTGTTGCCTAATGTTTCTTCAGAAAGTGTTTGGCTCATCTATGTGAGCAACTGGAAATCTCATCTGAGTTTAAGGGTTGCTTAAACATGTTTTCATTGTGGATGGGGACAGTGGTGCACTCTCCAGCTCATGGGGTGTTTGAGCTAAACAGACATTTTATTCTGTGAAGGAACTATCAGCTGCAGTCAGTCATGATCTGACGTTAATAGGTCTTGTCAGGGTAAAAGACATTCTAGAACCATTAGCTCTACCTACCAAAATGTTTAGGTGAATGCTTGTGTATGTTTGAGCCTGTATGTAAAGTTTTGGCCCTACCTTCAACCTCCTTCTCCCAGTTCTTGTTCAAACATCATTAAAGTCAGATGTTGCATTTCCACCTAGAAAAAGAGCAGCTCAGATAAATCCTTTAAAAACCACAAAATGAATAAGTTTTGTGTCCACGATGGGCATATGTAAACTTCAGACTGTGGCTGTATTTACAWCAGGTTCATGATTTCTGGTCATACATCAAACAATGAATAAAAAATTTGTCCCATAAAAAGTCTCCCCATCATGAAGCTCTTGTCTCATCCTTTGTTGGTTGTAATTGGTGCTTTGGACCATGTTGTGTTTCGTGTTCCTCACTGAGCAAAATATTTGGAAGAGGCCTGAGTTCAGGCAGGAGATTTCTTTCACAACAGCAGTGCACAGCTGCGAAAGCTTGGAGCGCACAGCGAGGGGTGGAGAGAAGACAGGACGGGGACTGAAGGGAAAAGACGAATGGAGCAATGGCACTGTGTCTTTGCTCTGCTGCGGAATGTGTGGAGGAGTYAAGTCCTGTGCATGATTGTGTCCTCTGTTCACCCATCACCGTGAACTTTAGATGAACCTCCACCGAACCCTCCCTACCTCCCTTTTGACAAATAATGGAACACTTTAAATCACACAGAGATCATTTAGCTTACATTTAAAATCCATCTGAAGGGAATTCAGCATCATTAAAATACTCCCAAACTGCAATTTATGTTCATCTTTATCTCCTGCTGCTGATGTTTGATACAGAGAGGGGGATTGGGGTAGAGTCGGGCGATGGCCACCCCTAAATTGACTTGTATACAGTTACTATRAGGGATGTGTATTGGTGAGATTTTGGTGATCTGATACATAACARGATGCAGGGGTCATGAAATGATATATGGTGATATATTGTGATACTGTAATCGAGATGATATATTACCATGTTTTTTTTCCCAAAAGATTCAAATTTTTTAAAAACTAAAGAGCACACCATGCATTACATGCTTAAAATCGGATTAAATTCAGTTTATTTTTATGCAGTCAGAAGAACACTAACAACAATGAGGACTGCCTCTGTAATTCACATTTATTCTTACATCATTAGGGTGTATTCATACCTGAAACATTTYGTCCGCTTTAAACAGACCAGAGTTTGTTTTCCCTGTTGGTCCGGATCTTTTATGCATGTTTGAATACACACACGCAAACCCTGGTGCGAACCAAACAACCGGACCAAGACCCATGTTTTGAGGTGGTCTCGGTCCGATTCCAAATTAACTTTGGTGCGGTTTGCTTCAGGTGTGAATACAGACCGGCCTTGAATCAAAACAACTACAGAAAACATGCACCTTTTTGGACTTCACGAGCCACCACTGCTAAGCATCATGTTATAAATTATCCCTTCAGTGTTGCTAACACTACCACTATGCTACAGTGAGCCGTTGTGGGTCAGGGAACACAGACATCTCTTGTCTTTTGGTTTATGACATATACTGTATTTGCCAAAGCCGTCACAAATTTTGATATATATCATTGTGAAACTGTCGATGAATGAGCTGCTCTTGAATTTCTAAATGGTATTGCAGTTTTATCAACAGCACCATCTTTATTTCCGGGTCTGTGCTCTGTCCTGCCCCGTCATTTCTGTCCAATGGGAGCAATGACTGCAATGACTGAAAAAAGCACAATGGGAATGCAAATCGCACCAAATAAAAAATAAAGTCCACTTTTGGTCTGGACCAAATAAGTGAACCAAAGGACTTTCCTGGTTTGAATTATCCTGGCCCTTGCCTTCCTTTGCAGTTCCGCTCAATTCTAGTTTCCCTTCACTGCAAGGTGGAGTTTTGAACYACAGTGTCGATTTTCTGTGCAGTGTCTGCTTGTAATTTATTTTACCTGGGCCAATCAGAAAACAGAAGGCGGAGTTTTGAATGAGGTCGATTTTCTGCACAGTGTCTGTTAGTTAGCATTCAGCAGTGGAGGAAGTGAATGAAGCCAGTCTGTGTTGATAAGGCTTCCAAATTAAAATAAATTTGTCTGACAAAGCAGCAGCTCTCATTTACAACCATCTCGTTCGGCTCGGTACTTCTCTCCTCTCAGGAGGGTTGTTTACAGCGCACTCAATTTCCAGTTAGCTTCTTAGCTTAGCCTCCTTCCCAGTGGAGCTGACACACATACGTCGTGGCCAACCGATCCAATCATTTTAAACTTCAGCAGAGGCCACACCTCCAGCAAGAATCACTTCTCTATAGCCAAGAGTCCAGACCCTCGTCCGAAGCAAAGTGAAGGACAAGGGTCTGGRTTTAACCAGGCTAGGTTTGAATACAACCTAAATAAAAAAAAATGGTGCTTTTGAGAACCAGTACAGTATCAGGAAATAAAATATTGCAATATTTCAGTATATCYATATTTTCTTAAACCCSTAGTTTGTAATGCTCAAAGTGAATGTTTTGTGRGTTGTGGTCTAGATATTTTTATGCAAAGTTCCTGTTTGTTGAAATACAGCTGGCAGAATTACAGGTCGAGGATATTTTGCTATCACAACATAAAATACCAATTAAACTAATTTYTAAATAAAGCAGCTGTGAAGGACCAAAAGACTAGAGTTGAACACTTTATCTTGAATACCAGAATTAGCTATGAATGTATTTGGGCGTGCGGTGCCCAATCGTAAGCATGGGTATCTGTAAAAAAGGACGATTCACTTTTTTCCGACTGAGGTCCATATCTTTCATTTTTCTTTCAGACATTGATGAGTGCAGTTCCTCTCCTTGTCACATAAACGCCAGGTGTGTGAATGAGCTGGGATCTTTCCACTGTCAGTGCCTGCCCGGATTTCATGGCAGCGGTTTCCACTGCTCAGAACTCACAGGTTAGTCACAGAACTACAGGGTGGCGTCAAAAAAGTTCAAGATGACAGATCAGATTTCTTTAAGTTTTAATCAATCCACAGGTCGCCCAAAGAGCCAGTGTGAGCAGCACAGAGACAGTCTGCAGAGTGGAGGACCTGATGGACGTCCCAGTGTTGGAGCCTACATTCCTCAGTGTGATTCTGACGGGCTGTACCAACCACAGCAGGTGGGCCCTGCCTGACAACAATACAGACCAAAGTATAGGAAGTTTAGTACAGGATATTTTTGGGTGTATTTCCCCTATCTGGGTCTAGAAATAATGATTTAAAACAGAGGTTTTCAACCATGGGGTCGTGACCCCAAGTGGAGTCACGGAGATACTGCAGGTGGGTCGTGAAATATTTTTTTAAAAATTGTAAATTTTTAAAACTTTTTTTTCAAAATTATGTCTTTACACACACAGAACCATGAATCCAGCATGCATCAAACTGATAAATGGAGGCATAAAATAATGTATTTCAGTCAGAAATTTACACATTAAGTGTAAATGAGCTGAATTCTGCTTTACCCACCCCTATCCATCCTGGATAGGTATCTATCTATCTATCTATCTATCTATCTATCTATCTATCTATCTATCTATCTAT